TACATATTGCCCTTGAACGGCATCCTTGACAACGTCTTCACCCGTCGCGGCAAAAAGCGCAGTCCTGCAACCCTGGTCGACTGGATCCTTCATAAACGGCCTGACGACCGCTACGCCAACCTTTCCAGCAGCACCGTATGCATCCTCCGCCTGCTTTTGTTGGTCAGTACTGACGGCGCCAGGGTGGGTCGCGTTTATCCAAGGCCCGGCCTTAGCATCAGGTTTAAATCCAAGCTGGCCCTTTCCCTTGCGTTCGGCCAGCGCGCGGACATACAGAATCATTGCAAGCTTGGTGCGGTTGTAAAGCTTCGTCGGCCCAATATCCGTGTTAAGCTCGGCGAGAGACTCGAATTTGACGTCGCTGATTGCGCGGTGCAGTTCAGACGACTGCAGGACGAGGCGAGAGTTGGGCGTCCGCTGCAGCAGCGGGAGCAGCACGCGAGATAGGTGGAATTGCAAGATGTGGTTGACCTGCATGTGGCTGTCGATGCCATCCTTGGTGAGGTTGAAGACTCCAACGCCGAGGCCAGCATTGCAGATGAGGCCGTCAAGTCTGTCAAGAGTCGAGGCTAGCTTTTTGGCGACCTCGTCGGTCTGCTTGAGATCTTCGAGCTCGACTTGCACAGGGTGCAGTTTGGATATGTCGCCGTACTTTCTGAGGCCTTCTGTTGCTTCCTGGATGTGCTCTTCTTTCTTGCCAAGGAGGTAGAGCGCGGCCGGGTTGTGCTGGAGAATGTGGGCACAGATCCCGAAACCAATGCCTGCGCTCCCGCCTGTGATAACGTATACCTAGGTACAGTCGCCCTTCAGCAGGCGATGCTTCTCATGTCCAGCAATGCTGGAAACTGGGGCTCACCTTGCCAGAAAGATCTGGGACGTCGGTGTTGGGGTCAAAGGTGTTGCTGCTTCCGATCATTATGTGTGGTTGGTTTTATCTTGATTGAGTTGACGTCAACCGGGGAATTGAGGATCAATTGGAGTGCAATCAGGTGAGTGTTTTATCCATTCTGCAAATATGGCCGCTCAAGAGCTATCTACGGGTTGCAGCCATTGGGTCAGCGTGACGTCAGGACCCAACTCGAAGCAGAAGTCATGGCTAGATCATGAGTGCTATTCGCATCGCAAAATCAGGAATAATGCGGTAGGATAAGTTTGGCTAGGGGGTTGCAGTGCTTCCTGCTTCTGTAGTCGGACACGCAGTAAATCAGGGCTGATAAACAAGCCACCGAGTCTGCAAACGCAACAAACACCGAAAACGCGACAGGGAATCCACACGGAGAAGCCATCCCCATCCAGGAAAAGCGAGGGTTTCTTGATGGAGGGTTGAAAAAAAGACCAAGTAAGTAGGGCAGCGAAAAACAAAAAGAAATACGTCCCCGGTCAGGATCGAACTGACGACCTTACGATGATCAGCTAACTAACAGTCGTATGCGCTAGCCAGCTACGCCACGGAGACATATCAATGACGACAGGGCTCAATTATGACTATATATGGAAGAGGGCTAACTAAGCCCTAATGATTTTGTTGTCGAGTTCTCCTCCAGTGCTGATTTAATCACGACCATGGGCTTCCTTTTCAGAATACATTCCGCATATGAGGAAGGAGCGAATGCTCGGTGGCTGCTTCCTTTTTTTCTGACGCTACAAAATAGGAAGCTGCCCTGGGTCGTGCCTTCCCTGCCTGTTGCTCACATGTATACAAGGCAAGAGCGACCCGCCACCTGGCACTGGCAGTCGTTCCTTCCTCGCTTGAATAGCTGGGTATAAAGAGAAGGAACGACCGACTCCTCGGCAGGTCGTACTTTCCTTGTCTGCTTCGCTAGATGTTCAAGGAAAGAGCTACCCAGGGCCGCCGTTGTATAGTACAGCTGCTCAACATGGTCCGTGGGTGTCTATATTCTCTGCTCGAGGCTTGTGCTGTTTGCTGCACTATAGCAGCAGAAAGCTTAGTACTCCGTGTTTCCGTTATCTCATTGCTGGATTCGAGCTCATTGTCTATCGACATCCGTTACCAGCATAACTTTCTTGTGCACGGCATGGTAGAGGGATTCTACAACCGGCAAAAATCGAAAACCTCGACCGGCGCCCTTTTTCAGAGTTGCAACATCCTTCTACTAGTGCTCTGCTCTAGGAAGACGAGGGTAAAAAAAACAAAAAGAACTCGTCCCCGGTCAGGATCGAACTGACGACCTTACGATAATCAGCTTGCTAACAGTCGTATGCGCTAGCCAGCTACGCCACGGAGACGGTTGATGACGACGGCCAGATTATTTGCATTATCAAGGGCAATACTGCGAGGATAGAAATAACAAAAAAGGAATAAACCGTCCCCGGTCAGGATCGAACTGACGACCTTACGATGATCAACCAACTAACAGTCGTATGCGCTAGCCAGCTACGCCACGGAGACGATTGATGACATAATCCAAATTGGCTGAAGTTTATATTGAGGCGAGTATATATCCAAAGGAAAGGAAAAGCATAAAAAGAATCGTCCCCGGTCAGGATCGAACTGACGACCTTACGATGATCAGCTAACTAACAGTCGTATGCGCTAGCCAGCTACGCCACGGAGACAATCGATAAGATAAGGTTTCTGCATTTGCAACTATAAGGGGAAGCTTTTAATCAACCGTTACAGCATATACTATGGCAAAACTGCGCTCAGATTGAAGTTCCTCCAGTCCGGAGGGGTGGCATTAACCCTGTTCCCATGGTTAAAGAAGGGGCGATTTGAGTTGAACTATCTCCGTATCAATATAGACGGCGATACAGATGGTTGGGCCGCCTTAAGGGGCCTTCTCGATCCCTGCGCCTGTCAACTACTTTTAGGCGGCTTGAAATGAGTGCAAGAACAATGACTGACTGGGTATGAGTATCAACGTAGGTGGGATGCGTATCAATATGGATGGTCGTTTATTGGTAAAGAAGAAGTTCATGGAGCGTCGAGGGTTTCTTTGGTAGGTGGTCAACGGCATGGGGCTCCCTTGGTACAGATTCCATAGATCATTAATCGAGAGACGGTACAGAACCTGGAACAATTACCATATACACGAGTATTGGCATTATATGGTAGCTGGTGTGTGTCATATGGGTGATATACGTATCACTCCGTGTCCACTTTCTTCTATCCTGGCGAGGCTGTTTTCCGCTAAGCATGTGCGACCGAACTATATATCCATACTGTTGGGCCTGAACAAAGGACCACTTGACCACCTCCACTAGAACGCTCGTTCGCTGCGAAACCTCTCCACCCAAGCAAGCATCCCTCATCGCTACCTGTATCTCTACGGAATGTCATCAATAAACTCATTATCCTGTCCATTTGCATACAATACAATGCATCTAGTACCCGGGCCCATGTTTTATATAACAGCTGCCGACACGATACAACAGTGGCACCATCAAGAATAAAGATTGCCATGGCCAAACTAGAAAAAAAAAGTAAACAAGCCGAATCGCTATTAGATATCATCAACAAACCTTCTTCCATAAACCATACACACACACAAGCCACACACCATTTTGCATGTATCTACCGCACAGAGCTCCTTAACCCACCCCGTCCAGACGGGAAATTCCTCGCACTAAGCAACGCCCCCTTCACGCCCCGAATCTCCGCGCGGAACCCCGAGATCGCATCCTCCTCACCCTTGCCCACCCCCGTCGCCGCCGCGCCACCGGAGTCCAGCCCGGGCGTGCTATACATGCCGTACCCCGTTGTCGCGCTGTAAGGGTACGAGGAGCTCTTGCTGTAGAGTAGGCCGTCGAGGAACCGCTGCAGGTCGCTGATCCGGCTGCGAGTTGTGTCGTGGAGAGTGCTGGATGTTGTCTGGGTGTCTGCGAAGTCGCGCAGCTGCGTGCCGATTTGTTCGAGGCGTTTCTGGTGTGTTGTTGCGATTGAGGCCGGGGTTGGTTTTTCGGGTTCTTGGGTGGAGGGGGAGACTGTTGCGCTGGGAGGACCCGGGAGATCTTGGGTTGTTTGTGTGCCAATGTCGCGGTGGAAGAGCTCCGTTGGGTCGGAGGTTATGGATTCGATGTCTACTCCATCTTCATCTGAGATGACGCTTTGGGTAGAGGAGATAGTTGGCTTCGCGAGGAGACTAGGTGGGATCTGGGAGACGTTCTGCTCGAGTTTGTCGTTGAGTTCCTTGAGGTTTGCCTCGGTTGTTGAGGCGAGGTCGTGCCGGGCGTCTACGAGGTTCGCAAGCATTGGCTTCACAATGTATTCACCTGCTGTGTAAAAAGTTGCGCCGAGACCTGCGGCACCGTAGAGGGTGTAGAGGACGCTGCGGAGAGTCACCAGGGGCGGGGGCTTGGATTGGTGGAGGAGGAATTCGGGGTATGTGATAATCGGGGGAACGTCGCGGGGTGTGGAGCTGCTGGACTGAGCTGTGGTACTCGAAGCAGCTGATGACCTCGAAGATGTCGATGTCCCTTGAGTGGGACCCTCTGTGCTCGCAGCCGTCGCGCTCCCGTTTCCCTCGGTTGTAGAGCTAGCATCGCTGCTCGCCTCGGAGTTTCGCGATACACCTAAGAGGCTGTCGATTTCCGGCGAAGTGAGGCCTTTGGATTCAAGGAAGGCAATCTTGCGGTCTGTGGAAGCGTCTCGGATTGATTCATCCTGCAGGAACTTGGACGCTTGCTCAAGGAGCGTCGACCGAGCGGTGTCCTTGCCGGCGTCCTTGTCCTTGTCATCAGAGGCTGGCGGCGCGGCGGAGTTGTGTTGCTGCCACAGCGGGATTGAAGGTTTAGAATCCGAGTCGGCCATGGTGAAAGCTATGTTCCTGGAAGGAGTATCTGAGGTAAAATAGTATGAAACCTACAGATGAAAGTTGAATAAGTAGAAGAGATTCGGAGCGAGTGCCGGCTGGTGATTGATGCTGGCCGCCGAACCATGTGAGTTGACCTCGGCTGTCTGGCTTGGGTCTTTCGATGCTTGATCTGGCAAAATTTGCTGCTGGGTCATATATGCTAACTGGGAAACAATTTGCCATCTCGTCTCCGTGGCGTAGCTGGCTAGCGCATACGACTGTTAGTTAGCTGATCATCGTAAGGTCGTCAGTTCGATCCTGACCGGGGACGATTTCTTTTTTTGCTGGCTTGAAAGGACTCACATCAGTTACCTACCATCTTGCCTTTTACTTCTTCTTCATAGACTTCTGTATCGCCCGCCCCCTTAAATGCTGATGAAGCGATGCTGGCCATTCCTATTGGTACGGGCAATACAAATTCAAGCCAATCTTCTTGTTTTCATATAGATGCTTTGTAGAGTAGTACTGGTCGACGCGGGGATTCTGTTGTTTTAAGGTTCTTTTGCGAGGAGGGTGATATGGATACTAATGGCCTCTGCTAGGTATCTGGTCTACAAAACTATCGGCGTAGTTGGCAAGTCCTACTATTTGTGACAGTTTCCTTTTTAGCCAATGAAGAGGGGTGTGGCTACCCAACCCTAGTAATATACGTACAAACCAACGACTTGACAACCTCTACCACTACCTAAGTGTCCAAGGAGAAGTGATTACAAACAGATAAACAGTAAAAAAAAGGAACGGAAAACATTGATATAAAATTCACAATGGAATATAAAGTAAGAGAAGATGTAATAGAAGCATCCACATCGGCCGGGGCCGTCCATGGGCATCGTGCTAGGTACGGAACTGCATCTATCAAGTCCCTCGCACTTTGCCCCCTCTTCTAAAACAGGACTCGCAGTCTTCATACATGCATGCATAAATAGACATATACCTAACTGGTTTCGTATCGAGCAAACCAAGCGCCTGCGCGATCGAAGAGTTGGCTGTGTAAACCGCCTAAGGGGTTACTTTGCTCATGCTAATGAGACGCTTGACGCCGACCTATAGTGGAAAGAAATTAGCAAAACAGACCCAGCCAAATAGAATCGAGGGACAGTATACCATCCAGTTACCGCACTCGTCGTTCCTATGCGTCATGATATCGACGTGGATTGTGCGAGCGGTTTCGTAGTCGCGGGCCTGGATAGCACGAGCGAGCTGCACCATATCCTGGATGGTGTTAGGCCTCAGTAGGTCTTCGTTGTTAAGGTGATCAAAAAGGTAGTTCAATCTCCGCTCGGCATCGTCGACCTGTGCCTTGAAGGTGGATGGGGCTCGCGCCTTGACGCGTTGCATGTCCTCTGTGAGGATTTCGAAGATGGGTAGAGCATCGACGGGGATGTGGGAGCGGTCACCGGGGGCTGATTTGGTCAGAAGTACTCAACAAAGCCTGGGTACGGTGGGGGGGCTTACGGTATTTGGGTGCTGCGGGAGCAGCCTTCTTCACCGAGGAGGCAGTGCCGGGTCGAGAGCCCGGGCCCTGAGGAGGGGGTGGGGCCTGCTGCACTGGAGCCTGAATGGGAGGTGGTGTGCTAGGGGCGTATGGGTTGGATGTTAGGGGCTGTGCGGGAGGTGGGGGAGCATAGGGGGAAGCCGCTGCCTGGGGAGGGGGAGGGACCGGGGCCCGAGTCTGAAGTTGTGGGTTGGCTGTTTGAGCGGCCGGACTCGGTGCGTAGCGGTTGGTTGGTGGAGGCATGGATGGCGGGGCATTGTAAGGTGAAGGCCCACGCGGGATTGATGCTGGGGGCGCCATCGTAGCAGGCGGGGATGTTGGCAAGGTGGCATACGGATTGGCAGGCGGGGGAGGAGCTGTGGCAAGCGATCCCAGAGGTGCCTGGCCTATTGATGGTGGTGAAGTCATCCGTGGGGGTGGAGGAACGCCCTTTGGTGGAGGCGGAACTGAACCTGTCCGTTGAAGACCCGCGCCAACAGGCGGAGGGCCTTGAGTGATGGGAGGGGACTGGTTTGGGAAGGGCGAGACGATAGGCGCAGCCGCTGCAGGAGTTCCTCTGCGTGACGTGGGAGCTTTGCTGAATCCCTCAGGCAAGTCATTCCACGCAGGCAAATTCGTAGCGGTGGTGTATGTGGTAATGGCAGGAGATTGAGTGGAAGCGCGAGGAGGAGGAGGTACTGTGCCCGCCATCGGCGGAGGAGGAGCACCGAACGACTGTTGCCGAGGCTGATAGCCTGCGGGAGGAGCATAGCTGCCACCTGCTGGCGCGTAGGGGTTTGTGGGCTGTAGTGGCGCAGGAGCAGCAGCACCGAGAGGAGCATAGGGGTTTGAAGCGGCCGCCGGAGGGGCGTACAGGTTTGAAGCGGGAGCGGGAGCGGGAGCCGGAGGAGCATAAGATGTCGGAGTCGCAGATCTGGCTCCTGCGGAGAAAGTTGTCGCGGGTTGATATGTGGTTGGCTGGGGAAGAGGCTTGCTTGCAGTCCTGGTGGTAGTTGCGGCAGGCTGGGCCCTGGTGGTAGGCTGCCTCGTCGCCAACTTGATCCGGTTCCTTGCAATTTCGGCTTCGGGGTGCTTTTCCGGGACAAGGTCGAGGTACTTCTGCGCGACTTGCAGGCGGCCGTGAGTCGCGACGACATCAGCGTACTCAATGTACTTGTCATAGAGAACACCGAGTTTCCAGTCAGACTCCTTGGTACGCTCCGTGTCCTGGAACTTGGTAACCTGACGGAAAATCGTGACCTTTTCGATCAGCGACTGTAGAGCACGAACGTGGATCGAGAAGCTGGTGTCATCGGTGGCAGTTTCGATAGCAGTCTGCTCGCCCTCGCTCAGTTCCTCAATCCAGATCGCAACCACCTTCTCCAACTTGGAGCCAGCAAGGTAGCAGAAAGAGGCATCCTTGCGACCAGCCTTGTCACCCGTGCTTCGGATCTGTTCCTCCAGACGGTCACCGAGGGCATCACAGAGATCGGCGAATTCCTTATCTTCAGCGAACGTGCACAGAGCAACCATAACTTCCTTCCAGTTGGACAGCTCGGCGTTATATACAACATCCCAGAGGTTCTTGCCGACGACGGAAGCGAGCAGACGCACGTAGTTTGGACTGTTTGTTTGTTTGGAGAAGTAGTGCTCCTGAGCCTTTTCGATGCACTTCTGGCCGCCGCAGATGGCGATCATGAAAGCATCGGACATACGGTCCTCTTTAAGGGCGAGATCGAGTGCCTTTTCGAAGTCGCCGAGGAGCAGAGCCCTGGTGATGGCCTTGTCAGCTTCGGACTCAGCACCGTTGAAGATCTGGAAAGGATTGTTGGTCTTGGCGCCTTTAGAGGCTGCGAGATCAGAGAGGAAGTTGTCGTCGTCAGGGGTTGCGTCGAACATCGACTGCAGGCGCTTGTGCTTTTTCGCTCCCGGCCCGCGGGATGTTTTGGGTGATGACTCCCCGTTGGCATCCTCCTCCTTGCTGAGGCCAAGTTTGGCCAATCCCTCCGAAACCTCGTCAGCTTGATCGTTGAAACCGAGGTACGAAATTAGGCCCTTGCGGGGATCCTCAGAAAGCAGAGCCTCGATGACTTTCCAGTCGGCCTTTTCTTCCTCCGTGGCAGCATCCGCAACCCTGTTCTCACAGATACTCTTCAGATCCCCTTCCTTCAGCGCATTTTCAAAGGTCTCGGTGGACTTTCCAACCGCCTCATCGACCTCAAACGGAGTGATCCTAATCTTGGATGCACGGCCATTTTTATCCGCCAAGTTTACAGAGACTACCCGACCACCAAAGCCGAAGGCAACGCTGCAAGGTCGCTCAAGCCACTTTGGAGCCTTGGGTAGTGAGAAACTGGAGACCTGGGGCTGGCTCGACGCCTTGGCGAAGAAGTCCTCTCCATCAAGGGCTTGGTTCTGGTCGGCAGCAGCCTTGGCGGTTTCCGTGCTGGTGTTTTGAACAGTCTGGATCGAGATTCGGCCGTCGAAGGAAGCCGTAGCGAAGAAGTTCGGGTTGTGGGGGTTCCATCGGGTCTGGAAGGTCCAGTTTGTGACGACAGGGAACTCGCCGTATGCGACACCAGTTTGAGGATTCCAGCAGATTGTGCGGTTGTCCTTACCGGAGGAGAGAAGTAAATCGGGATCTTGCGCACACCAAGAAAGCGACAGCACGCCGGCTTCGTGTCCGCGGAGAGTCTAGATATCGTTAGCAGGCGAACATAGTACTCTAGGGCGTGGTTGCTCACTCTCTCCGGAGCATGGGAATTCCGGAGATCCCAGACATTGATGATGGGATCTGACTCGAGCGGCGTCGCTGTAACAAGCTTGGTAGACTGCATCGCATTAGTATAGCATTCACCGATGGGGTGCCGGAAGTCCCACCTTCTCAGGATCCCAAGCGACAGCGCTGACAGCTTTCCGTCCCATGTTGTTGAGAGTCAAGCTCTCTTTCTTAGACTTGACATCCCACACGGTGACGAAACCGGCACTGCTGCCGGTGACCAGAATGTGTGGGACCTTCTTGTTCCAATCCAGGCATTCGATATCGTCGGCGCGGGCGGTAGTGCTTCCGAGTCGGTAGGGATTCTCAATGTTATCAAGGTCGGAGATGTATAGCTTCGCAAGGCGTTAGCAGCTGCCCCGCTCCATGGAGACCCAGAACCAACCTCTCCCTTGGCGCCAGCAGTGGCTAGTAGGTTTGAATGTTTGGGGTTAAACTGTAGAGCTTTGATGGCCCCTGAATGTTTTGACGTTCGTGACACGACCGCATCACTGGTGGGAGTTAGTAACAGACACTGTAGTGATCCAATTCCTTAGCCAACCTTGCACCGCTTAACAATTTATCAGCATCCCATAAATCAAGGGATCCGCTCTCAAGACCACCCGCAATTATTCCGCGGGAGTTATCGTCGGATTCCGTCCAGGCGAGGTCATTGAAGCTGTGGTTGAGAACTTCTGTTAGAGGTTTATCGCCCATAAGAAAGAAACAAGTGTATAATTGTGTGAACGCACCCCGAATCGGTATCAACCTTAGCTACGGGTTGGAGCTCCGCACCGACGTCCTGGTTACTCAAGCCCAAATCCCAGAGCTCAAGACATGTCTCATTGGAGAAATCGGCATCAACAGCGCCAGCCCGTGTTCCGGTAGCGATCAATGGCGATGCAGCCCCTGGGGACCAGGCAAACGTGGCCGTCCGGGGAATCTCCCTCAGTCGCACCATGCTGAGGGTAGGGAGCTACTGTGTGGGGGGTATAGATAGGGTGGAAGGCCGTTCACGGAGAAAAGAGAATATGAAAAG